ATTCCTGACTGATCAGTCTGAGCAAGAGAGCTGGGAGTGATTCCTGACTGATTTTGCGGGGGTCCGGGACCGGTGCGGTCCAGCTCCGTGTCGCAGTTGACCCGGGACAGGTCCGGCGCTTTGGGTCACCCGAGGCCCGTGCTGTCGGAGGTACCGGGGGGGCGAGACGCGGCCAGGGCAGCCGGCAAACCCGAGATCTCCGAGTCGTCCCCCGATGGGCGCCGTGTCTCGCCGCCCATAACAACTGAACTCACGAGACACGTTTAAGTCTCTCATTTTGTTTTTGAAAAAATGTAAACTTTGAGGCAGGCGAACGGCAGAGAAATCGAGGCAGTGGCCGCACAGATAACGACACACCCACACACACAGTTTCAGCCCGGATTTCACTCCCCCAAAATAAGACTTTGGCTGCGAGCGCGTGACGCGCGCGGAGTGACGACGGACCCCCCCCCCGCCGGTGTCGAGCCGCCCCCTTTCATGAAGTTTCCGGGTTCTGCAATGGCGCTGCCGTGGCTGGTGGCGGTGGAGCTACTGCTGTACGGGGGGTGTTTCATCTGCGGCATCATCGCGGCGTCCTCCGTCACGGTCACCCAGGTGAGACCTCGCCGGCAGGTCCCGGAGTGGTGGGGGGGGTCCCCCCTCCTCCTCCACCCCCCGCCCCCCTCTGGACAGGACTTGGGCAAACCAAAACTTGTTTTTCGGGAGTTTGGGATGACCAGGCGCGACACGGGACCTCGGCGATCCCAGCGGCAGCAGGCTGTGTAATCAAAACACACAAATAATAACTTTGTTTTTTTTTTAAATGCCTCTTAAAGGCGCCGGGTGGTTTGGTTTCTGGTGGACGAGTGCTTGTTTGTTTGTTTGTTTGTTTGTGTGTGTGTGTTTTTTTTTTTGTTTAAATCTTTGACGAAAAGGGGGCTGCTCTCGTCCATGTACAGATGAACAGTATTTGGGGGTGGGAGGATCGGCGGGAGCAGTTCCAGCGTTGGTAGACTTGGGAACAAACCGCTCCTCTCGCCAAAACGGGACGCGTCGCAACCTGTTCCGAGCCCGAAAGTCGTGCGCTCTCCGAACCCGGCCCTCGGGGGGGGGACGCCCGCCGAAAACGTCTTGCCTGCCGTCCTGTGTTTAACTCTTGTCTCCGGAACCGCGGTGCGCTGGTTCACGGGAGTTCCCGGCACCAGCGCGATGCAGTTCCGCATCGATGCGAGAACGTCTTGCATGAGGAGTTTGTCGTCTGAGACACACAGACGGGGGAGGGGAGAGAGAGAGAGAGAGAAGCTGGGGGTCAGAGCGCAGGGTCAGCCATTTATACGGCGCCCCGGGAGCAGCTGGGGGTGAAGGGGCCTGGCTCAGGGGCCCGGAGGAGTAGGATTCCTCTGCCGGCCGCGGGATTCGAACCGGCGACCTCCCAGCCGCTCCGCCCACCCCCCCCCTCAGAGGAAGCGACTGCGGGCGGTCCGGTTAAACGCGTGACAGGATGTTGTCTTTCACTGCGAGGGGAGCCTCGTGAAAGCAGTTAATCACACGTGGCTTGGGTACGGCACACGTTTCAGCGCCTGTGATGTGCCACCTGGGACAGCACGGAGCCGGAGCTGAGCACTGCTGTTGGAGGCCAGTGACTCCTCGGTTTTGTCCTCCCAGTGTCACGGGGGGGGGGTGGTTCCTCTTCTCTTGACTTCGAAACCAGGCGCGTGCTGGTGTTGCTTGGGGGCGGAGTGGGGGCTCTATGGCTCAGGATCCGCGGCGGTAGCTGGGAGGTTGCCGGTTCGAATCCCGCGGCCGGCAGAGGAATCCTACTCCGCTGGGGCCCCTGAGCAGGGCCCTTCACCCCAGCTGCTCCAGGGGCGCCATATAATTGGCTGACCCCCAGCTTCTCTCCCTGCCCCTGCAGGTGGGGGTGCCCAGCGCCAGGGGACAAGGCTGGCTGGATAAGTGCTCGTTAGGCACTAATTGGAGTCAGATGAGCGCTGCTGTCTGAGACAAGAGGACCAGTGTTCAGTACTGCTGACTCCCCTGGTCACACTGCTCGTGTCGGACAGTGACGTGTGAAGGGGTTGTGCTATTGTGTTGCGGGGGGGAGTGTGCGCTGCCCTGGTTTGTGTTGTGGGGGGGAGTGTTTGCTCTGTTAATACAGTTGTGTTGTATTGTGTTGTGTTGCAGGGGGAGTTTTTGGGCCAGTGTGTGCTGTGCTGTGTTGTGTTGCATGGGCAGTGTGCGCTCTGTTAATACAGTTGTGTTGTGTTGCGGGGGCAGTGTGCGCTGGGCTAATCCAGTTGTGCCGTTGTGCTGCAGGGGGAGTTCTCGGGCCAGTGTGTGCTGTGCTGTGTTGTGTTGCGGGGGCAGTGTGCACTCTGTTAATACAGTTGTGTTGTATTGTGTTGTGTTACGGGGGCACTGTGCGCTGGGCTAATCCAGTTGTGCCATTGTGTTGCAGGGGGAGTTCTTGGGCCAGTGTGTGCTGTGCTGTGTTGTGTTGTGTTGCGGGGGCAGTGTGCGCTCTGTTAATACAGTTGTGTTGTATTGTGTTGTGTTGCAGGGGGAGTTCTCGGGCCAGTGTGTGCTGTGCTATGTTGTGTTGCATGGGCAGTGTGCGCTCTGTTAATACAGTTGTGTTGTATTGTGTTGTGTTGCGGGGGCAGTGTGCGCTCTGTTAATACAGTTGTGTTGTATTGTGTTGTGTTGCGGGGGCAGTGTGCGCTGGGCTAATCCAGTTGTGCCGTTGTGTTGCAGGGGGAGTTCTCGGGCCAGTGTGTGCTGTGCTGTGTTGTGTTGCGCTCTGTTAATACAGTTGTGTTGTATTGTGTTGTGTTGCGCTGGGCTAATCCAGTTGTGCCGTTGTGTTGCAGGGGGAGTTCTTGGGCCAGTGTGTGCTGT